ATATATATGTTCAGGGAGAGCTTTTTAAAATGTTTTTCTTTTTCTTTCCTTATCCCTTCTCTATAAGTTGGGAACCACAAGACTATCCCCCGCAAGTAGCTACAATAGTAATATGGTACTTACAGATTAATAACAATCTAATAATGTTATACAGCATTTAATATCATGAACAGGGGTCATTTTTCTGTCCAAAGAATACTTACAGTTGATACTTTAAGTATATTTTGTGATAAGTAACAGTACAAAAGTATTAAATTGGATTTTAAATGCAGGACTTGGCTTGTATTTTTGCATTGTTGTATTGGTACTTTTACTCAAGTCAAAGATCAGTGTACTTCCACCACCGGTCTCACATTGGAAACAGAACAAAAAAAAAAAAAAAAAATTGATTGTTATTTTAGTGCATCAATATACTGACTATATGACTTTGTGTCCCCAGTGGTATAAAAGCTACTGCAAACAACTGGGCCATGCAAACTGCAAAACTTTATTTCTTGTCATTATAGAGGATGAAATGACATTGTGATATGATCATTTTCCTCTGTAATATAAAGCATCTCTTACATAATTCTTTATAGGGCGAGACATACAGACCCTTAAGTTCTAAGGTCTGGTCGATGGCCACAATAATACTCTGCTGCCATCATGTGGCAGAGAGTTTCATTTACACCCCCACCACAGCTATTACACAACATCTGTTGTTGGTGTTTCCATGACAGCAGTGTTCTGTTACCTGGTGCAGGTGAGACTCAACTGAAAACAAAGAACAGGACAGAGGAGCTGCGGGGGGGACAACAGAACAAACATGAACAGTCTCCTTTCCAGGTAGGAGTCAGTGCTTTTATGTTTCACATAATCCAGGAAGTCATTAACATGTTAGAAGTTTCAAAAGCTTCTCTCTATATAATATACCAAGCTAGTATATTCCAAACATGTAACAATAAAGTGTATCCTACTGCCAATAATTTTTCCTGAAATGTCCAAGCAGGGATGTCCAGATAAAGAGCATGGAGCAGACAGTGAAACATGCTGAGAAGTATCTAGGTGAGCTGTGCTCCCTGCTGGCCTCCTACACCAGGAAGACAGCCAAGCTTAGAGACAAGGCAGACATCCTGGTGGCTCAGCTCTTTGACTTCTCCAGCAGAGAGGATCCCGAGCTCCAGGTTGGCCTGAAAAACCTGGCGGAAGACCTGGCCATGGTGCAGGACTATAGACAGGCGCAGGTCAGGGACACTGTAGTTATTCATGCTCTATTTTCTGCATCTAACTATTATACATTAAGTTGTTGCCATGATGAATGCTTTATTGCTGCAGGTAGAGAGACTGGAGATGAAAGTTGTTACTCCTCTAAAAGCCTATGGAGACATAATCAAAAATAAAAAGGTGAGTTTGGTTACAAATGTGTGCCTTCAATATTGATAAATCTGCAAGAAATTAATATCAGCTGACAACCATGTTGGCCTGAATGTAAGATGATCCTAATAATAAGATGACTCCCCCTTTTCCAGAACCTGTTGTTGGGAGAACATTTTTTAAGGTAGAAAACAATTTTAGACTCATCCTGATGGGAACATTTCTTGGAGATATTATAGGCTAAAAAGAAGATCAACATAATCATTCAAACCCTTTTCCCTGTAAAGGTGAAACAGGAAATACTTCAGCAGAACATAAAGCCCAAATTTGTGTAGTCACATACTCATACACTCTCTTGTCAGGCTCTTGGAAGAGGTTTAAATGATTTATCTAACAGTTTGTATTTTTCTTTATGAGCTCCTCATCATCTGTGACAACTGTAATTCTTGACACCTTGACAGATAATTCAGTCCTTTGTCCATTTTCTCAATTAAGATGTAGGGGGATGTTTTTATTTCTCCAAAACACACTTTATGAACCTACAGAAAGTCTTGTTGATTAAGCAAACCAATGCTTGTGTCAGTACCTTCAAAAACTGTCACAGAGGGCTGTTTTAAAAACGTTGCCACTGCCATGCTTAAGGTTTGGTTAGTTAGGTTGAGGAACATAAGCTAATTAAACAAGGTTAAATAGACCACTGTTGACTCTTAGTAGGAAACAGGCTCCAAACAGTGGTCTCCCATGTCATAGTCCTGGGCTATGGTGACCATCCACCTTCTCCCCAGAAGTTTTGTGGCACTGCACTGTCACTCTACATTTACCCTTGCTCCTGACAAATCATACTGCCTCTATAGGTCTTTGGCAGATAAAAGAAATTAAGTAACCTCGGGTCAGGACATCAGTGTCCCTGCTGTTGCCTGCTGCCCTATTATTGAAGCACCTAATCCCTATGTCCACCAGGCTTGGCTCCTTAATCTAAGTGAGGTAGCTTACTTCCAAAATTGACACTCCATAAGGTTTCTAAAAATTGCTCTTGCTCTTGATCCCTTGCCTCAGACCAGCCTTCAGTGACTCTACAACACAGCTTTGAAGGTAATGGGGTGACAATGACCCCTCTAACACATTAAGTGGAATAACATTAAGAATACATACAGGTCAATTTATGGATTTGATCAAACAACCAGTGCTGTCTTTTGTCCTCTCTTTTGGACAGTCTTACACATGTGCACACAATATGGAAAAGACTGACTGACTTTGTTATGTGTGTGTGTCGTGTAAGCTGACATTGTATTTACCATTTAGGCAGATCTCAAGAAGTTCAGCATTGACTTGAACAGTCAGCTGAAGGAGTTGCAGAAACTGGAGAAAATACGACTAAGGAACCCAGCTGATCGACAGACCATTGTATCCTTACATACAGACATTTGTTTTCATCACCACATATTCATGAGAACTTACGGTAACACTTTTTATGAAGACCACATCTATTGTGTATTATGAGGGCATTCATAGAGAATTATAATGCATTCACAACATTTTTCTGACAACACTCATAAACACACAATACTTCCTGATGCACTTATGTTCCTGCTCATGTTTCATGAATGAGACCCACTGCATCATGAGTTAGTGAGTTTTAAGTCACAGAATTAGATTTTGCAAAGACTGGGTATCTTTCTGGGTCACTATTTGCAAGGTTGTTCGCTTCATAAAGTGAAAAAAGTGACAGAAGGTGTTGCTATTTGTAAGTCAACATTAGCTTCTGCAGTGGTTCTCAACCTTTTTTGGGCCAGTGCCCCCCATCCATTAAAATTCAGACTAATTGCCTCCCTGAATATTAGTGTTGATTGTTATTGTGTTATATTGTTAAAAAACAGCGTCATTAGATGCAAAATAGCTATAGATTTGATTAAACTGGACAGTTTGAATATTATTTTCATTACTTCCTTAGAGAGCAAAAAAGTCAAATGAATAGAAATTATATGTCAATTTATGAAATTCCAATGTCCGTTGTGGAGAGAATGGAAAGGTTGGTTAGCTCCTTTTTTAGGAAGTGGTTGGGCACACCTAGATGTCTAAGCATTGTGGCATTGTATGTGAAAAGGGATACTTCAGCTTCCAGTATCTAGTTTAACAGAGGAATTTAAATGTACCAACTCTCCAACCAAAGCTCTCATAACTATGTTACTCACACTCTAATGCTGTCTACACTAGCCAGGAACAACCAGTCAGACTCCCTGCAGGAAAGTCTTGACCCTGCTGACCTTGGAGATGGCATTCTCTTGCACATTTTGAGTGGGGCTCAGGCCCTCATGATGGGCCCTGTATGTCTTCACATAGTCCTCTGTAATGGCACGTCATTAATCGCGTTAAAATGTGCATGAGGACCTCAAAACGAAATTGAAGGACACTACATTTCTGATATACTATACTCACCCATGCTGTGTGGCAGCAGGGACGTAGCCATCATTTCAGAGGTGAGGGGGACAAATTGTTCAGAGGTCTATTGAGTGATTTATCATTCTCTCACATTCAGTTCCACCTTTCCTTAGCGGCTAAAGAACCATATAACCACAAACAGCCACAGTACAGCACCAGGGGACCAACTTTAGTTCTTTAAAATTATATACTATAAAAATCTAAAGTTTTAGCTGCCAAACCCTGGTTGAGTTGACACAGAATGACCCTCGAGCATTTACAGGGTAAGTAGCCAGATAATTAAGTGCCAAATACCTGCCTGGTTTCTCCCTGTCCCTCATCTATCTATTGCAATAATATAGATAATAAATGTGGAAAGCAAAATTTTGAAATAGAATTAGGAATAGTAGTAGTGAAATTGTTGTAGAAATTAACTCAAAGTCACTTTTATGCTATAGATATTTTCTCTCAGCCAGTTATAATCTCTCCTTACCTGTGAAGACCCTGCATGATCATCCTTGTTGGCCTCTGGTCCACTGTCTCTTCCCTGACCCTGCTCCAGGGGTGATTCTAGGATCAGAGGTTTAGGGGTGCTGAGCACCCAGAGAGCTGCCCGGCCAGGCAAGATAAATTGTACTGTTTTGTACATTTTAACTCAATTTCATTCCCACATTTGTGAAAGAAAAGCACAACACTTTTTGGGAAAGTCTGTGACTAAACCATCAAATCTGATAAAGGTTATGTAAATGCTGAGCCACAGCAAAAGAGGAATAGATTGGAATCATAAAAGAAACATATCATAACCCTAATTTCTGGGGGCAGACAACTCATTTTGATACAGCAGCTCCTCAACATACACATAAACAGTATGTATGTTTCTGGAGTAAACCAGCCCCCTATAGTGAGTACCAAAAATACCAAAAATGGACCTTGGACTTATTTTTTGGACTTTTATTTGAAATGCAATGCACAACATGTAACATTAACACATTAACAGTAATTGACTTTTTCAATGTTTGTCTCTGCCTTTTTCCTTCTTGTCTGTATTATATAATACAAATACATAAATAAAAATACACTTCAAAAAAGAAAAGTGCTTGAAATCTACAAAATAATAATAATAAATACACACAATAGGAGTTATAATGTTAATGGGCATCCAGTCAGTTAGCTAGTCAGTAGCACCTTGGCTTTAATATTAACACATGCACATGACACAACAGCTAGCTTCTCTCATTCCAATTCAAACAGAGGACAGTGGTACTGACCACCTGTAACGTTTCCTAGCTAGAAAAAACATCAGCTAACTCCTACCTAACAACATAAACAGTGACCTACGATTAAATGCAGCAAAAATGAGGACTGGTAATGATAATAATGTGTTGGTATTGAGTGGTAGAAGTTAAGAAATGTGCCACATATCCTAAAATATTACATTGCAACCAAGTACTGTATGGTTTTGACACTTTTCTAGCTTGTTAAAAAAGGGACATAGAGTAAAAAAAACATTTTTTTTAAAAAATCTCTCAAATTTTAGGGGTGCTGGGATTCAATTTAGGGGTGCTTCAGCAACCCAAAAAATGGGCCCTGCTCTTTCTATTGTGGCAATCAAGATTAAAAAAAATATGTGCAAAGCAATAGTGAGCACAAGATCTGCGCAGAAATTAAGGAGTGGGTTTATTCCTAGCACGAAACTAGCTAGCAAGCGATTTAAATAGGTAACAATAACATTAGTATTGTTAACTACCTTAACTTGATATATTGGCAATTATCAATTAGTCATCATTTAGCTTACATTATCTACATGCAACAGCTTTACTCAACATACACGGTTTGTTTGGAAGAAACTGTGCAAGGTTTTTTGCTTCTTGCTGGCTGGTTTGCTGAACATAGTTAAGACACAGCAGCGCACAGCGCCGCCTACTCATGGTGCATTTAAAGACAGCTCGGAAAAACACATTACCACATGTTAAAAACGAATTGAACGGTTGTAACGGCTGTAAAAAGTGTGAAAAGTGTGATAAGTTGCATCCTGTTTCCGCTGCCTTACCCATTGCTCCAGACGGAGAGGCTCCTTGGGTCTTTTGCCCTTATGGGTTTCTTATTTACCAAGCTCTTTGCCAGCTCTTCAATAGCTTTGCCATTACTGGACCCAGACACCCCACACCAGTGTAGAATGACTTGGCGAAGTGGGCCTAATAAGGCACACCTCTTTATAAATGGGTTTCATGCCCTTTTTTCATAGAAAACCAATGGAGTTTGTTTCAAAATTTGTGTAAAATAGAAAGAGCATGGAATCTATTTATAAAGAGGTGTGCCTTATTAGGCCCACTTGGCCAAACCATTCTACATTGGTGTGGGGCATCTGGGTCCAGTAATGTCAAAGCTATTTCACTGAAAACCAATGATGTTTGTTTAAAAAAATCATATAAAATAGAAAGAACATGAACCCATTTAAAAAGAGGTGTGCCTTATTAGACCCACTTGGCCAAACCATTCTACACTGGTGTGGGGTGTCTGGGTCCAGTAATGTGAAAGCTATTGCCTGTTCTGTTTGTTTTTTGTGAGTGTTTGTGTGTGTGTGACAGACAGACAGACGGAAAGATGGATGGACGGACAGGGGAAAAAAAAGAGGAGCTATGCTGCTCTCTCCACTGCAGCTGCTTCACTTGGGCCCAGAGCTCCAACTCATGATTTTTTACCTTTTTTGAAAGTGACAGGTGCCATATGTGAAAAAATTTCACTTGATTGGGATTTTAGCCTTCTAGCTCAAGGCAATAAGGAGAAATGGCCTCTGTCCACTTGCCATATACAATACTGAGGTATAGACGAATTCGGCGAAAAAAACAGAAGTCGAGCAGCCGCCATTACTGCGGTGACAGCTCCCTGTAAGGCATCCATGGGCTCTGTGCGCAAAGGGAGTATTTGAATGCAAGCTCCAAGAAGTGGACCATTTCTCTTCGGTGAATATGTCTAGGAAGGCTGGGAGGACATGTGCCATCCTCAGCTGTTCTAATAACAGCGGAAAACTCCAACTTTGGAACAAAACGATATGCAAAATACACAGCCTCTTACTTCACGTGGACTGTCCATGTTTTAGACCGTACGGTTTACACAGACTTCCTGGGTGTGCCGAGGACCAAGGTGTTCGCCACAGGTGGCTAAAAAATATCAACAGAAAGGACTTTGTTGCCAATAAAAACAGTACGGTAAGTATTCTCTTCATGCCACAATGACTAGCATTTAGGATAGCATAGCCTAACAGCTAACGTTAGCTATCGCTACTCGCTAACGTGTAATGCTGTAACGTTAACGTTAATCCTGTGCAACTCATAAATCAGTTTCCGAGCCGGAACGTTACAACTTTCAATGCAAGTTGGTCCCAGTACATGGAAAATACTGTTGCCTGTTACAGGCAGGTGTCTTAATAACAATCTATGAACACCACAACTAAGGCTGCAGCAAATAAAATAGCTTATGTTAGTCAGGGTGCTTAACGTTAGCTTAAAGTTAGCCATGGGGAGTCGGTGTTTACGTTACATATGAGCAAATACCTCATTTAAACATAACGTTAAATCACTTGAATGAAAGTGAGAATGGTTAATACAAAGTGCATTAACTAAGTGTAAAACATGATTTAAAGTTAAGAGTAATTTTTCAGCCATACTGCTGTCATGTCAGGCGTGTTTATGTTAGGGGAGTCGGGCTTGGTGGATCTAACTTGGACAACTACATTGTGCTTTTCCTTGTCAGAAGTTTCTCTGAAGTTCCGAGTAAAACGGGATGCAGCATCACTGTACAGTGTCTTGGGTCGTGTGCAAAATAAACTACATAGGAATAAATACTCATAAAAAATTGCTTTACATTTACCAGCCACAATATCGACTATGTCACTGTGACACATCAATAATCATTCATGCATCAATAATCATAAATTCAATGTGATATATATATTCTTCTGACTGAGGCTTTGTTGCATAATAAGTACTTTAGTTTTGATACGGACAGTGTAATTTGTTGCTAAGCCCTGTGTACTTTCACTTAAATGAAAATCTCATCAAATGACATCCACATTTCACTGTTACACCTCTGTATTTTTATTTTTATTAAGTTCTTCTACCAATTCCATTGTTTCATCAAGTAACTAAAATTCATATTTGAGTAAAAATGTTGATATCATATTAAAGTTTATATTTGTTAAAAGTGAAATAAATAGTACTTGGGTATAAGTCTTAAACTATTTTTTCTTAAAAGTGCTTTAGTATTAAAAGCACAAGTAAAAGCAAAATATAGTTACATGTATCAAGATGCTGTCTACTGTAAGTCCAGCGATTATCAGCTGATTATCTGATATCTGATCTGACATTTTTTTTAATAGGTGGGTTTAATGTGGGTTTTTTTTTCCTATCTGATCAATAATGAAATCAATGAAATTTAAAATGTGCTGCCCTAACTCCTGATGGAAGCTTGATTAAAAAATGCTGAAATTATTGAATTTAAAAAAGAGTATTTCAATTATGTTTTTTGTAATTATGGTCACTGCAGTAATGTCGTGACCAGTATTTTACATAATAATTAAATGTGGGGTCGCCACTTCTCTCATCATTTTCCCCCACTCTCAAGGTGTGTGGAATACACTTCCCTGATGGCAGACCAACGAAGGAACACCCATACCCTGTATTGAATATGGGATATGAACATCATGTAAGTTTGATTTTTCTATGAATAACTACGAGTTTTATTAATTGCCTTCACAATATGAAATTTAAGAGATTCAAATTGATGTGCTCTCCCATATGTTGGTTTTGTATTTTACTGTTTTCAAAGATGTTGGTGCTTTTCTCTGTTTTCATGTACTTCCTCAGGAAACACTGTCATCTGGAAGTTTGGGATAAGCAGGGCCACAGCCTGTGAGATCTTCACAATGTGGAGACCAGTACTTACAAAGTTCATGAGAGAAAAAGTTATTGCTTGGCTGCCTAGAGATACTCTGAAAAGAATAAGACCTCAGAGTTTTAGTGAAAACTACGCTAAAGCAACATGCATCATAGACTGCACAGAAATATTTGTACAAAGGCCGAAGAACTTAAGGAAACAATCACAAACATACAGCAACTACAAACATCATAACACCTACAAAGTTCTATATTGCATAGCCCCCAATGGTTATGTGATGTTTGTGTCAAAACTGGTCAGTGGCAGAGCCAGTGATACTTTCATCACGAAGAACAGTGGTCTTGTTGACCATTTGATTCCAGTGATCAGATTTTGGCAGACCGTGGATTTACAATCACAGATGTACTGCCTCCAGGAGTGACTTTGGCTCTTCCAGCATTTACACGTGGCTGTAAAGAACTCTCAGAGCATCAAGTTGCAGAAACACGCCGTCTGGCCAATGTCAGAATCCATGTTGAACGTGCAATTAGAAGATTAAAATGTTTCAAAATTTTGAGTAATGTAATCCCTGGTAGGGTAAAACATGTTGATGATATTGTAAGTATTTGTGCAGGCCTGTGTAACCTGCAACCTGAGTTGATTCGGGGGGAAACTGAGGAAGACAAGGAATTTGAACTAGATGAAGGTAAAGACATTGATGAGCAAGAGGGAGATGAATATTTATGGGACATTGCAGAAGACATTGGGGAAAACTAAGATTGATAGGGCACTAGTAATTGTATTCTCCATAAGTCATTGAGAGAAAAGATGAGCACACAAAAAAAATCATTTAATTTTAATTCATGTTTAATATCTGCTGTATTATCATTATGGAAAAAGTAAAATGAAGATCAACATGTAACATTTTTGAACACCTTTGTTAACATTGTTTTCCAGTAGAAACCATAAAAAAGTTAAGTCACTGAGTTTCAGAAACAATAGGAATAAGTGAACTAAGATTGAACCAACAACTGTGTTCCATAGACACGTAAAGTGACAGTTGTCATACTTCATTTGTCCTTGTTTCAATAGTAATATTTGTCGTTTTGCTTACAATCATTTTGTCCTTGTCCTCACAGTACAGTATGTTTTTCTTAGTTCATTTTCTTACAGTTTGTTTTCCCTTTTTCCTCCAATTCATTTTATATTAATGGATAGACGGCAATGAAGCAAAATTTATATTACATTAAATTACAAGAAATGTTGTCTATGACCACACAGAAACAATATGGAAATCAAAGGTAATGATATCCTCACAGTGAGTCTGATTTTTAAAATGTGAATAATCTCTGTGTTGATAGATTTTATGTATGAAACTGTGGCAATGGGGTTGTCAGGGCTTTGAACTTCGTAATTGCCCTAGCTGGGACTGCTGACAGAACAGGTGAAATGAACTAACTTCCTGTTGTTTTTAGAGCAGAAGTGTGTAGTTGTCTTCTTTACCTAACAGTGTATTTTAGCCTCATGTCTTTCCCACTGCCCTCCCACCCACTTAAACTCCCCACAGGTTAAATGTAAGTTTAGAGATGCTCTAATCATATTTTTTTCTTACAGATCTTTTTGTCAGTTACTTTGTCCTACAGTAAATGTAATTTGTCCTTGTGATCTTTTCTTACTGTTTACTAAACATTGTAATTACAGCTCTGTATTCACTGTATGACACTGTAGTCCTCATTAAAGTCACAGCAAAACTACTTGAGTCCACGAACTTTCTTTACCCCATGTGTTATTCTTGTAGCTATTGCTGGTAGGACATGTTCAAAGTAAACCTTCCTCAGGTGGGAAATCTTTTCCTCTGTCCAGTCCCTGTTGTAAGGAACATCCAAAATGATGTGTTCAGTGGGGCTCCATACCAAGAATTTGCATTTTGTTTTCTTTGCACAATGCATTGCAAGTTGTACTTGACAGTAGTAACCCAGTCCAGCTTCTCTCAGAACATATGATCCATCGTATTTATTTGATTGAATCATTTGTACCAGGCTGCTATTGTGTGCCTCCAGTTTTTTCTGTGTAGGACACTTAATCTCCAGTATTGTCTCTGAGTCAATGAGTCCATCAAGGCTGGCACCAAGCCAGTTCTCTTCCTCATCCACAATGAGACCTGTAGTCTCCACTTTCTGCCCTGTGTTATCCTCAAACCATTTTCTGGCCAAAGGCTCAGATGTTTGACCATACTTCGTTGCTTCATTTCCAATAAACTTGCCATTTAATTTTCTCTCGATCCAATTGGCTGGGTCTGTTTTTTTGGGCACTTTTGCTGCTTCGCTACTTGTTATTCTCATTTTTCTTTGGTCAGTCCATAACTGACTACTGTGGCCCTTTGTTTTTTCTTTGATTTGTTCCCTCGTATCTTTGTCACTTTTCACATATGTTTTGAACACTGAATTGCAGAGGTCACATTTTTGCTCAGCACAATTTGTGTGATCTTTGGGGAGTTCATTCTCTGCACTCTCCTGTGGCTTGGCAGTCAGCAAGTGATTTAAAATTGTTCCAGGGATTCTGGCCAAGCCAGCCATCTCAGGAGAGGTAAGATGCTGTATGACTTCAGTGTAATTTGTGAATGTTTTTGATGCAATTTTTACACTCTTACTGGGTCCTTCAGAAGGACCCTGTATGTTTTGTACTGTGTCAGGTAACACATTTTGCCATGTAGATTTGTTCCATGCACAGAGCTGGTCCGTGCAGGACATGCCAGTCAGACCCTGCCTGACAGCCTCCTTCACCTTGTACAGGAGAGCTGCAGTGTGGCTGCAGCAGCATCCTCTGGCAGCCATGCAGTCACAGCTGACTTGGACAACCTGGCTACCCTCCCTTCTCACGGTTACTTCCACATCGTGGTGACAGTGGATGGACTGCGAATGTCTCACTGAGCCCTTCAATATGATGCGATGGCCGTCTAAAAGGCGGTGTAAAATTTGCCCGACCCATCCGGAGCTCAGGTAATTTTGACCCTCAATCAGAGACCTGTAGTTGCCGTTTTTCTGGTCATCGGAGGCCAGGCAATCAATCAAATATTCTTGAATACCTAAAACAAAACACAAACACGTGTTGTTGTTGTTTTTAGTCACGTAGCCTGTCCATAATGATTAAACGTCACGCTGCTAGCTTGCTAACGTCAGCACACGTAACGTATGCTAACGTTATATTACACAGTGTTTAATGATACAGTCTATTATCTCCCTATTACTCTAATCTTTCCTGCTTATCGCTCAAACAAATGATTAATTTCTAATTTAATATCGGTACTCATTTAAGATACCTTCATCAGTTACTGGAGGCCACTGTCTAACATCATCAATCCAGCTATTCATGATGCTGTCATTGTAGAGAGTCAGTTCACAATGACAGCATAATGAATTGATGACTGACACATGTCACCGCAGCAATGGCGCCGCCGCAAGATGGCGGCATACACAAATTGCTCGCTGAATTCATGTATTGGAAGTGGGAAATGTGTGTCCACTTCTCAAACCTTAGAGTTACCCAGGGTATGGCAAGTGGACAGAAGCCATATCTCCCCAGCGCTTTGGATTCAATCAATCAATTTTATTTATAAAGCCCAATATCACAAATCAAAATTTGCCTCTGGGGGCTTTACAGCATATGACATCCCTCTGTCCTTAGGACCCTCGCAGCGGATAAGGATTAACTCCCCCAAAGAAAACCTTTAACGGGGGGAAAAAATAAATGGATCAATCTCCCATTGGATTGGAGGTGCATTGAACCTGCTCTATTAATTTCAGTTTCCTAACTCAAAGTGCTGTGCAGATATGGCTCCTGTTCACTTGCCATACCCTGGCCTTAATATTAGGGTATTGGAAGTGGACAATGTGTGTTCACTCGCAACACCCTAATATTAAGGCCAGGGTATGGCAAATGGACAGATCCCATTTCTTCTTAATGCCTTGGGCTTGGAGGAAAAATGTGAATGAATGAATGAATGAATGAATACAATGAAAATAACAGAACACCTTCCTGGAGGTGCATTGAACCTGCTCTTCAAGTTCAAAGCGCTGGGGAGATATGGCCTCTGTCCACTTTCCATGCCCATTAAGTCAGTGTTAATGGACAGTGTTTTTTCTCCAAAACCAATGGAGCTAGCCCACTGAAATTGTAGCCTTTTACCCTCTCACCTCAAGCACTTCACCCGGTGAAAATAAAGCTGATCGGTGAAAGTCAAGTTTTGGCCATATTTGGAATCTGGGGCAGAACATTTCACTTTCAATCAATCAATCAATCAAACTTTATTTATATAGCGCCTTTCATACATCAAAAATGCAACCCCAAAGCGCTTTCAGATTTACTCCAGATGTGGTACACTGAAAGCCCCCAGAGAGAGATTTCAACTCCCTAGCCCAAGGCATTAAGGAGATATGGCTCTGTCCACTTGCCACACCCTGGGATTAATATTAGGGTATCGGAAGTGGACGCACATTGTCCACTTCCAATATCTTAGTGTTAGGCCCAGGGTATGGCAAGTGGACAGAGGCCATTTTTCCATAATGCCTTGGGCTCGGAGGCAGAAATTTACAGGACAGCCTCCTGGAGGGAAAAGAACATCCTATAAGAAGAAAATCTGCCTCCTAGCCCAATGGGCACTTGGGTGACAGAGCCCTGTCTATTCGTCATAACTTTGGCCAAATAGTAGGGTATTGCCAAATCTAACCAAGTTAGATTTTTCACAAAATGCACCTTTAATGTCACTTCAAAAATGAAAAAGGCAGTTCATAAGTCGTGGCTAGAAGCAACTAGGAGGCTGAAATATTGTGTGTGCCAATCCCACACCTCGAAAGGAGTCAAAGCTGCATAAGTGTGGATCAGAGCAGGTTTAATTTTGATACCACCCGTTTAAACGGCAGTCAGGCCACTGTGCGTTCATTTGAGGTTGGCATTTTTTTTCTTTTCCTTGTTTTTTTGTTTTCTGGAGGCATCAAAGAACAACCAAAGAACATCAAAGATGGCATCAAAGAGCAACCAAAACAACAACAACAAAAAAAAAAAAAAATGGGTCCATGTCATTGGTTCGACAGCCCATTGGTTCGACATCCCATTAGTCCGACTGTCCGCGGTGCTGAACAGCTCGCGGCGGGCGTATGGTGCGTATGGTACCAGCTTGAGGCAGAGCAGGCTCACGGCTTATGTTTGTCACTTTCTTTTTCATTTTAACCCACACCATGATCTTTTCCTGACCCTAACCAAGTGGTTTTTGTGCCTAAACCTAACCAGACCTTAACCACAGGGCATCATGAT